CTAAGCTGTGGAGAGTTTCTGTGAGAGTTCATCTGAGCCAGAACTGATGACAATTGCTGAGAAATAAGATCTCACATGCTCCCGGAATAGCAGTTTGCAGTTTCTCTTGTACTTTTGAAATTAAGAAAAGGAAGATTGGCTGAAGGTGAAAGAAAGCAGGAGGGTCCAGCATCAAATTACAGGTTAGTTAACAAGGTTATGGGCTCTCTAAAGGGTGGGTAAGCCTCTGAGGGGTATTACTTCTGGCATTTTAAAAGTATGTTCACCGCCATAACCGGTTTGGCTCAGTGGATAGAGCGTTGGTCTGTGGATTGAGGGGTCCCGGGTTCGATTCCGGTCAGGGGCATGTATGTTGGTTGCGGGGTGGGGGGTGTGCAGGAGGCAGCTGGTCGATATTTCTCTCTCATCGACGTTTCTAGCTCTCTATCCCTCTTCCTTCCTCTCTGTGGAAAATCAATAAAATATATTAAAAAAATAAAAATAAATAAAAGCATGTTCACCTAGATACAGAGGAACAGGGCTTGCTTAGAAACTGTTCACTGAAGTCACAGGCCTAAGGCATGGCTACCCAGCATGCCCTGCCCAGTTAGACAGTTATGACCAGATCACCCTGTGAAGTTACTTTCCCATTTTGGTCTACTAAGGTGACATCTTTTTTTGTTTGTTCGTTTGTTTATATATATATATATATATATATATATATATATATATATATATATATATAGAGAGAGAGAGAGAGAGAGAGAGAGAGAGAGAGAGAGAGAGAGAGAGAGAGAGAAATGATTTGTTGTTCCATTTATGTGTTCACTGGTTGCATCTTGTATGTGCCCTGGCCAGAGATGGAACCTGCAACGTTGGCGATCTAACCACCTGAGGTACCATATGGCCAGGTGACGTCTTGAAGAGTCTGTTCATCAAAGGGAGGAAGGTCTGCAGATGGATGTGGTACACAGCTCCCTCTTGTGACCATAAGGGACAACTCCTGATTTTTACTTAGCTATTATAAAAATGATGCCTTGTCATTTTAAATAAATTAAGTGCTGAAAATATGATCATCTTCTCCTCACTCCAAACAATCCCCCTTCCCCTCTCAGTCCCCCGGGACTCCTTCTAACGCACACATGCACACATACATACAAAGTAATGGTTGATTTATTGGTGTGGGGTTATTTTTCTTTTTCTTTTTTTCAGAGAGAGAGGGGAGAGGGAAAGAGAGAAACATTGATGTGATTGGCCTCCTGCACGTCCCCTCTTGTGGATCAAGCTGCAACTTGGGCATGTGCTCACCTCCAGACCTCCTGGTTCATAGGTTGATGCTTAACCATTGAGCCACACCAGCTAGACTCCTTTGTCTTATCTTCACATAAGTGGATATGAATTCCATGGAGAATTGTGGCTGTGGGTGTTAAGGGACTGTCATCTTCCTTGGGCCTCTCTCTTGTCTTTTTTTGTTGTTAATCCCCATCTGAGGATATTTTTCCATTGAACTTGAGAGAGAGAGTGGAAGGGAGGGGGGAGGTCAGAGAGAGAGAAACATCCATGGGAGAGACACATCAATTGGTTGCCTCCTGCATGTGCCTCAAGCAGGGCCGAGAATCGAGCCTATAACCGAGGTACGTGCCCTTGACCAGAATTGAACCTGGGATTCTTCAGTCTGTGGGCCAGCGCTCTAACTGCTGAGCCATACTGGCTAGGCTCTCTTGCCTTTTCCACTCCTAAAGTTGTGAATGCTCCTCAACTTTAGCAAAATCCAGTTAGCACCAGTTCACAGACAGAGAGGGGAACTGAACACAGCAGAGGGGGAGGAAGTATGGATCCAACTTTCTTGGCTGCATCCCTTCCAGGAACATAAAATACTTACAGATCTGCACCCAAACTTTGCTCGTCAATGTCAGATACAGAGTCTGGAATGGCCTCTTGTGAGGCCATCCAATGCAATGCTGGGCAACTTTTATCAAGACTGAGGCAGGCCTGTGTATTTTGATTTGGATTGATATGAAGATATATTGTGAAGAAGGAAAAGCCCCCTTCACACACACACACACACACATTTCTGGGGGACACTTAAGAAACTCACACCAGGGAGGGAGGTAAGAGATCGACCAAAAGACTTGTATGCATGTAGATAAGCATAACCCATGGACACAGACAGCAGAGAGGTGAGGGCATGTGCTGGGGGGCGGGAGTGGTCAGGAAGAGGCCAATGGAGGAAAAAGAGGACATATGTAATACTTTAAACAATAAATCTAAAAAAAGAAAAGAGCTGAAACCGGTTTGACTCAATGGATAGAGCGTAGGCTTGGGGACTGGAAGGTCCCAGGTTCGATTCCGGTCAAGGGCATGTACCTTGGTTGCGGGCATATCCCCAGTAGGGGGTGTGCAAGAGGCAGCTGATCGATGACTCTCTCTCATCGATGATTCTAACTTTCTATCTCTCTCCCTTCCTCTCTGTACAAATCAATAAAATATATTAAAAAAAGAAAAAGAAAAGAAAAGAAAAGTAACTCATACCAGTGATTGCTCAGGGGAAAGGGGGAGAGAGACTTACTCTTCATTGCTTATACCTTTATGCCATTTGAAATGTATGCTCTAAGCCTAAATATCTATTAAAAATTTTTTAATTGAAAAACCAATAAACTATTGTTTTTATCAGTGAAAGGTATTCCTTTGATCCCAAACTCCTACAGCCCTGAGAGAATTCAGGCAGTTTGGAAGGCCTTCATTTTCGGGGTTTTGGCAAGACAGTGAAAATGATCCTAGTTCTTTGAAATCCAAAATACATAAGCTGCCCCGGTTCCTCTGGGCTGCAGCCTGGCAGGAGGGGTTTAGGGAACTCTCTCTTATTCCAGAGTGTTTTCTGGGTGCCAGATACTTTACCAAAACTATTTGTTCCTCAGCACTCTGAGGGAGATGTTACTAATCTCTCCAGGTGACAGATAAGGGCACCAAAGAAGTGGTGAAGGAATGACTTGAAGCAGTTTTTGGTAGCTTCTGAAGTCCAGGCTCTTGGAGGAAAAGGCCTGGGTGGATTTCCTTTCCCTCTCCCCGGATCTGGAACAAGTTCCGTCTCCTCTGAGGGGTGGAGGAAGGGAAGCAGAAGCCGCAGGGATGGACAGGTCGGCCACAGGCAAGGACTGAAGCTTCAGGAAAGAGCAAACAGTGGGATTTCGGGAAAAGAAATGAGGCAGAAGGGGCCACCTGGCTCAGGCTCAGATGGGCAAGGCAGCCCTGTGCCCCCCAACCAGGCAAAATCAGCACACCCGTTTGTGAACGACTGCTTTCTGGAAGCACGGTGAGTGCCAAGCACTGGGATGCAGCCGTAAGCCAACACAGACCAGGCCGCCTCCCCACAGGGCTTACACTGAAGACTTGGCAGCCCCAGCCTCCTCCCTTATACACCCCGACTCATACCACACAATTGGTGGTGACAAGGTGCAGTGTGGAGGGCTCCACCTAGAGTCAGGCGGCCTGCTCTACCACCTATAACTGTGACTTGGGGCAAGTAACTTAGCCTTTTGTGCCTCTGTTTGCACCTCTGTAAAATGGGTCCGATCATAACACCTACCTTAGGATTGTGTGAGAGCTCCATGTGCAAAGTTTTCCCCGTAGTGCCTGTGATCAGACCAACCCACACTTGATAAATGGTAGCTGTTAATTTTATTTATTATTATTAATTATTACTATTATTTTAGTAGCTGTTACTTTTGTTTTATTTTTTATATTTTATTGATTTTTTTTACAGAGGAAGAGAGAGGGATAGAGAGTTAGAAACATCGATCAGCTGCCTCTTGCACACTCCCTAATGGGGATGTGCCTGCAGCCAAGGTACATGCCCCTGACCAGAATCTAACCTGGGACACTTCAGTCCACAGGCTGACTGAGCCAAACCAGTTTCCGCAGTAGCTGTTACTTTGAAATACAAGCACTATGTTCCACGAGAACAGAAGCCGGATCTTCCTGGTTTTTCAAGGAGTCCCAGTACCTACCTGTTTCCCCGAAAATAAGAGAGTGTCTTATATTAATTTTTGCTCCCAAAGATGCGCTAGGTCTTATTTTCAGGGGATGTCTTATTTTTCCATGAAGAAGAATATGGTACACATTTATTATTAAATGAAAATAAAGGAAATTTATTACCTGTATACAGTATGGTATACGGTGGTTGTCAACACAAACCAGACAAACTATGAATCCTACAGTATCAAGAATTTACTCATTTATTCAATGACAATCATGTCATCATCTTCTGGAACATCATCATAACAATCCAATTCCTGAATTTCCTGGTGAATTTCTTGTGACTCCATTTCTTTCAGAATCAGTGGACCAAATCTCTCATGTTTAGCCTAGGGGGGCCTTATTTTCGGGGGATGCCTTATATTTCACTCAGAAGGAAACCTGTTAAGTAGGTCTTATTTTCGGAGGATGTCTTATTTTCGGGGAAACACGGTAGTACATAATAGGAGCTCGGCAAGTACTTCCTGAGTAAATGCATAGGCTGTTTGCTGAGAGCCACCGAAAGCGAGTCTCGGCCTTGGACAGTGCTTGACCCTACAGGCGTCTTCAAACTACGGCCCTCGGGCCTCATGCGGCCCGCAGAGGAGTCTGATCCGACCCGCCAGGTTTTTTGGGCAGTGAGCGCAGCCGAGGTGTTACAGTAGGAATTAGTAGTTCATATAGTCCGGCCCTCCAGCTCTCTGAGGGACCGTGATCTGGCCCCCACTTTAAAAAGTTTGAGGACCCCTGACAGGAGATGCTCAGCAGAGGAGATGCTAGATCTACACTTGTTGAATGAATGCATGCCTGGGTGAACGAATGGCTATGGGGCCGGAACCAACATTCCCGAGTCCCGGACCCCACGCAGGCATTGGCACATGCGGCTTTCCCCGACGTGGGCGCCAGAGGGCGCTGAGCTCGGCGGGTCTCAGCTCCAGAGCCGGATTCACGCGTCCGCCCCCGGGCCGCCACGCAGTGACGTCACACCCGCGCACCCAGCATCGCGCTCCCGGGGGGCGGGGCCGCGGAAGCCGGACGTAAACAGCCCCGGAGTGTCTCGGGCCCAGGCTCCGTCTCGGCGGCGGCGGAGGCGCAGGCCCGGGAGGTGCTCGGGCGGCGTCAGGCTGGTCCGGGGAGAGCGGTAGGCGGAGGCCCTCGCGGACGGCTGGTCCCCGGGAGCGGCCCGGTCGGCCGTGCGGGTGACGCAGGCGGGTGACCCAGGCCGCGTGCGCAGGGCGGGGCGACGGCGGGCGGCCGCAGTCCCTCCACCTCCGCCGGGGACGCGGCGGGAGGGCGGGCGGCGGGCGAGGCCGGGCCGGGCCGCGAACCCCCGGGCCTCCCGGAGCCTCTGTACAACGCGGCCGCGGAAGTGACGGGGGGCCGCGCGGGCCGAGCGGAGCCCGGGTGCAGAGCGCGCGCGCGGGGCGCCAGGTGGGCGCTCGGTACATAGCTGACCTTTGTCCGGGAAAGTTGGAAATGACCTCAGTGCTTTTTAAAAAATCACTGGTGTAGTTCAGACATTATATATTGGATGCCCTGTTTTAGGTTCTTAAAGGGGAGAAACAGGTCCGTTTCTTGTGGAGTGTACATCCTAGGGGGCGGGAGGGGATACCAATGAATGAATCACAGTCATCCTCCAAGGCGGGAAGGGCAGTGAGAGGAGCGGAGCCGGTGCCTGACAGGGGGTGGGGAGGCGGGAGAGGAGGGGTCGCCGGATTAGATAGTTACTGGACCACATGGGGTGAGCTTTGGGAGAGGAGAGGAGAGGAGAGAGGAGCCATGTGGCGCCCCTGCGAAGCGCGAGGCCAGAGGCGGGAGGGAAACCCGTGTGTGATGAGCTCGGAGGCCTGTGGGGTGGAAGGGCTGGAGCAGGGGGACGTGGCAGGACCTGCGGGGCTTTGGCTTTCTCTGAGTGAAACAGGAACCGTCGCAATGTTTTGAGCAAAGGAATGGCGTGGCTTGAGTAGGTTTGAAAAGCTCACCCAAGCTGCAGAAGAGGCCAGTTTGGGAAGGGAAACAGGGAGGTCTGTTACTAACAGACAAGTTCAAGAGCATCCCTGCAGCCAATCAGGTGGCGAACTTCAATGATGATGATGAGCCCTAGCTGGTTTGGCTCAATGGATAGAGCGTCGGCCTGTGGACTGAAGGACCCAGGTTCGATTCCTACCAAAGGCACATGCCTGGGTTGCAGGCTCGTTCCGCAGTAGGGGGCGTGCAGGAAGCAGCCACTCCATTGATGTTTTATCTCTCTCCCTTCTCTAAAATCAATTAAAAATTTTTTTTAAATGATGACAGTTACTTAAATTCCGCCCCCCCCACCCCCCCCCCCCCCCATTTTTGGGCCGAGCCGGGCTCCCTAGCCATCATAAATCTCAGGACAGCCTATAGAGGGCAGTGTTTTCAGTGACCCTGCTGCTCAGGCCTGTTCAGACAGAGGTGACTGCTCCGCACTTGCTGCTTACGCCTTTTGTTTAAATGTACAGTTCACTGGCATTAAGTACACCCACAGCTACCATTTCCAGAACACTCCTTAAGTCTTCATTGTTGTCGGCATCCTAAACCCAGGTCCAATCTCATTCCCATACACACCTCAGGCAGCCAACTCCATCAAAGCAGAGATACCTAAAAAACACCCAGCATGTGCCAGGCAGTGAATGAAGTCATGGAGGATTCGGTTCTCCCTGTCCTAGTCGGGGGAGACCAGTGATTTGAGAAAGAAGCACCGGGTAACCATGGTTGTGGTCCTGAAGTCAAAGATACTGTTGAACATAAAGGCCTAACACTTCCGCCCTGTGTTCAATAAGCGTTGAGTACTTACTCTAGACGCAGTGGGTATTCATGTTTGTCGAATGTTTAGTTGGATATAGCTCCTTGGCCGTGGTCTCTCGTTTTCTCTGGTGGTTATCATTGGGAAATGGTGGAACTGGGCCTGACCCACAAGAGGTTTTTGGCAAATGCTGGCTTTAGCTTTGTGACTTTCAGTAAGCTAAAGTTGGGCCTGTTTCCTGGTCCCTTTGGTAGGGGAACCAGATAGTAAACAAATGGACCGCGTTAAGAGATTGCATGACAAAGGAGCCTAACTTAAAACGGGGTGTCAGAGAAGGGCTCCCTGAAGTGGACCTCCTGGGAGAGGAGAACTCGAAGCTAAAATGTGAGGGATGAACAGGAGCTCTCAGAAGGAGAGTTAGGTAGGAGTAGAGCCAAGGATAGGGATTCTCTACATGGAGATCGGCGTGTTCTGAATTCCTGAGTTTCTGGTCTGTGAGAAGTGGCATTGGGTGCCTACTCAGGAATTCCTCTTGTCAACCCCTTGCTGTTGAAGCTCAATTTCTTCCTGGGGCTTCCAAATAGACCTGTGCCAACCTAGACTCTGGACTGAGGATTTGCAGGCCCAGCATGGTGGGGGGGAGGGGGGGCAGTGGAACTATAATACCTATGGCCTCATTGTCCTGTCCATGTTCTGTGTTGACTGATAGAAAACAAGAGGGCCTTCAGGTCCCAGATTTTACTCCTTTTAGCCTTTATTTTTCTTAAGAGGCATATCATTCATTTGCCTTTCAGCATAACCATTATTGCTTGTCTCATTTTCGATTCTTATAAGTATATTTCCAGTAGGACATGATCTCACTCATCTAGGGGAAATGGTGAACAACATAGACTGATGAACAAGAACAGACCCAGAGATAATGAGCCATGGGTCAGACTGTTGGACCTCAGAGGGAGGGTGGGGATAAAAGGGAGAGAGCAACCAAAGGACTTGTGTGCATACATATGAGCCTAACCAGTGGTCAGGGACTATAGGGGGTGGGGGCATGAGTGGGGAAGGGTGGGAGATTGGAATGGGGGGTTGAGGACAAATATGTGATACCTTAATCAGTAAAGAAATAAAAATAAAAAAAAGAGGCATACCAGAGTGGTCTTAGGAACACTCAGGCATGCTTGAAATCTGTGTGCCCTTGGGCAGCTGTTGCCTATTTTTGCTAAGCCTCGATGTCCTCTTCTCAGAAATGGGAATGATAACAGCTTTACCTCATAGGTTCATTTTGAAGACATGGCCTGGCATCTGAAGCATTTAGTGCAGAGCTGGGTACTCTGTAGTGAAAAATACACAGTGGGATTATATTATTAGAATTTAAATAGGAAAACAATAGTCTGGCAAATTATAAAATATAGAAACTTCCTTTGTGTCTGCATGAGTTACCTTAGTTTGATCAAAATTGGATGAGTTACTGTCCTTAGGAGTTCTTTTAAAAAATCAAACTGGTCAAATTCTTATTTAAAAAGTGAAAAATAGCATGTGCCTTGCTAATTTCTAGCCCTGTTGGCTCTTAATGTAGGTGCAATCAGGATTGGAAAAGATGCCAGCCCCAGCTGCCACATATGAGAGGATAGTTTACAAAAATCCCTCTGAACACCACTACATGAAAGTCTGCCTGTAAGTGCAGTCTTCTAAGTTCTACTTTTTATTATTATTTTTTATGAATCTGAATAGCATGACATTTAATGCAATGTACTTTTTCTTCCCAATGTTTTTTACAGAGAATTTCAAGAACACGGGGTTGGACTGACTGCTGCACAGTTCAAACAGCTGCTCATTTCAGCCCTGAAGGACCTGTTTGGGGAGGTATGGAATCCCTTGGTGAATTGGACCATTCCTAAGATCTTTGTGATAAATACTGAAAGAACACTTTCCCAAACATTTTAAACTTTAAAACCACATTTGAAATTTCAGGAATGATGAATACTTGGTAGGTATATTCTGATATGCTTTTTAAAAATATATTTTTTTATTGATTTTAGAGAGAAAGGAAGTGGACTATATAGAAACATCCTATGTGATGAATGCAAATAAACTGAACTGCAGATTTACAGGTCACTATGACACGCACTGACCACAAGGGGGCAGAAGCGGGGCTCTTGGCTGGCAAGCACAGCAGCAGTGGCAGCACTAATTACCCCTTGGTGGGCATCCCCCCCAGGGGCCCCAGACTGTGAGAGGGCAGTCCAGAATGGGGCTCCACCCCCTCTCCACGGGCCTCTAGTCAATGAAAAGAGAGAATCACTGATTGGCTGCCTCCTGCACGCCCCCTACTGGGGAGCGAGTCTGAAACAGGCATGTGCCCTGACCTGGAATTAACCATGTCCTGGTTCACAGGTTTCAACACTCAACACTAGCCGGGCTAATCTGCCTTGTTTTCGACAAGGAACTCATTAGACAAATGTTTATTTTAGTGAGTGCTACTCAAAGTGTATTTGAGACTGACAACTGATGGGTTTTCTTTGCCCATTTTAAAGATTCGTGGCTCCCAGTAGAATGTAAATTAGCACACATTTCCTTTACTGAGAAAGTTTCCCTATGAACAGAACAGCTGAACTGAAAGGTGTGCTTACTGATATTGTTGATTTACATTCTGATGCAGCTCCTTATCACGGACCAGCACTTTGAGCAGTCCTGTTTTAGCATTCACTTCAAGTAGAGTTTTGAGAGAGAACCAGATGATTTTTCAGGAAGTTGTTTCTTGATTCATATATTCTACCAAGTCAAAATCTGCTAACCATTTTATCAAAATTAAAAACTTTTATTCCACAAAATACTCAGTTAAGAGTATGTATAGAATACAGACTGAGGGGAAATATTTGCAAACCACATACCTGACAAAGAACTAATATCTAGAATGTATTAAAAAAAAAAAAAAAACCTTCGCTGAGACCTGTTTGGCTCAGTGGATAGAGCGTCGGACGCTTGGGGACTGAAGGGACCCAGGTTCGATTCTGGTCAAGGGGATGTATATTGGTTGCGGGCATATCCCCAGTAGGGGGTGTGCAAGAGGTAGCTGATCGATGACTCTCTCTCATCGATGTTTCTAACTCTCTATCTCTCTCCCTTTCTCTCTGTACAAAATCAATAAAATATATTTTAAAAAATAAAATAAAATAAAAAAATAAAAAAACCCTCAAAACTCAAACAGTACAATTAAGAAAATGAATAAAAGACATAAGATATTTCATTCAAAAGGATGTAGAGTTGGCAAACAGGCACATGAGTGAAAAGATATTCAATATCATTAACCATTAGGGAAATGTACGTTAAAAACCAGTGAGCCCTGGCCTGTTTGCTCCAGTTGGTTGAGAGTCATCCAATAGACCAGAGTTGTGGATACAAACCTGGGTCAGGGCACATAAAAGAATCAACCATTGAATACATAAATGAGTGGAACATCAAATCCATATTAATCCCTCTCACCCCACCCCTTCCTCTTGCAAATCAATTTTTAAAAAATTTAAACACCATGAGATATCACTATACACCTAGAAGAATGACTGAAATAAAAAACTGATAACACTAAATGCTGGCGAGGATGCAGAGAAACAATTATTCATTCATTAGTTGTAAGAATGTAAAATGATACAGCCTCTTTGGAACACAGTTTGGCAGTTTATTTTTGAGAGCACTTTTATTAAAGCTGGGTACAGTGAAGCAAAGAAGGGCCTAGGATAGAAGAAGTAATAGGCTAATTTTTAGGTTGATAATTTTGTATGGCCTGCAAATGATGCTATAAATATCCAAATGGCCTTTGGCAGAAAAAAAGTTCCCTGTCTTACACAGACTAAATATGTACCCATCATACAACATAGCAGTTGCACACCTGAGCATTTATTCTAGAGAAATGGAAACAACTTCCCACAAAAACTTGTATATGCATGTTCATAGCAGCTTTATTAGTAAGAGCCTAAAGTAGAAATAAGCCTGATGTCTTTCTTTTTTTTTTTTTAATATATTTTACTGATTTTTCACAGAGAGGAGGAGAGAGGGACAGAGAGCTAGAAACGTCGATGAGAGAGAAACATCGACCAGCTGCCTCTTACACACCCCCTACCGGGGATGTGCCCGCAACCAATGTACATGCCCCCGATCGGAATCGAACCTGGGACCTTTCAGTCCGCAGACAGACGCTCTACCACTGAGCCAAACCGGCCTCGGCAATAAGCCAGATGTCTTTCAATGGGTGAACAGTTAAACTATAATTCACTCATACCATGGAGTATACTCAGTAATAAAAAGGAACAAACTTCTGATACAACAACCTGACCACATCTCCAGAGAGGTACTAAGTGAAAAGCCAATCCCAAATGAAATGGACTGGGTGATTTATATTATGCGCTTGAAATAATATAAATGTATAAACGAGAAATTTAGTAGTAGGGGGGGAAGGAAATAGCCTGTGGTGGTGGTGGTGTAGTTCATGTTTTTTATTTTTATTGATTTCAGAGAGGAAGGGAGAGGGAGAAGAAGAGAAATATCGGTGATGAGAAAGAATCACTGATTGGCTACCTCCACACCCCCTACTGGGAGTCAAGTCTGCAACACAGGCATATACCCTTGACCGGAATCAAACCTGGGACCCTTCAGTCCACAGGCCAACGTTCTATCCACTGAGCCAAACTGGCTAGGGAGGTGGTATAGTTCTTTATCTTGATTATGGTGGTTACATTAAACTACCTATGTGGTAAAATTGCAAAGAACTATGCATATGCACACACATAAGCAAACAAATATGAGTGCATATATAAATGGTAAAATCTGAATAAACTCTGGTTTATCAATTTCAGTCTCCTGGTTTTAATATCATACTGTATTATACAAGATGTTAGCATTGGGGAGGCTGGGTAGAAGGCGCATGGAACCTTCCTGTCATTTCTTTGCAATTGCCTGAGACTCTTAATTTTTGAAAGGCAAAAGTTTAAGAAAAAACTTGGGATGGTGAACAATACCATATACAGAGAATGTGCCTGGCTGATGTGGCTTAGTGGTTAAATATCAACTCATAAACCAGGAGGTCACTGTTCAATGATTCCCAGACAGGGCACATGCCTGGGTTACAAGCTCCATCCCTAGTACGGAGCATGCGGAAGGCAGCCAATTGATTATTATTTTTCATCATTGATGTTTCTATCTCTCTCCCTTTCTCTGAAATCAATTTTTGTAAAAATCAACAATATACAGAGAATGTATTATAGAATTGTACACCTAAAACCTATGTAATTTTATTAACCAGTGTCACCCCAATAAAATTCAATAAAAAATAAAATGATTTTTTAATTTAAGGGAAAAAAATCTTTGTATCCTTTCAATGTCAGGTATAAAACCTGGTTCCTGTGGCTATAGCTATAAACAGATATGCGTCTGTCTCATGGACTAATGGTCTTGATTATGTTGAGTAGGCAACCAGGTTGAACAATTAATGGCAAAAATGATGACTATTATGAAAGGGGAAACATGTGGGACCTATGTGTGAGAGCATAGCAAATGATTGAGCTTCATCTTGGGGATCTGGAGGGAACAATTTAAATGAGGACTTAAAAAGTGAAGAGGCATTAGCAATGTGAAGAGTTACAAGAACACCCAGACATTCAGTAAAATACTGCCCTTTTTGGAGGAGGACGAAGAAAGTAATTGACAGGATTAGTTATTAGATTTAGACTGACGAAGACAGTAGTCTGCTAATAGCATTGTCCCATGCTTAGGTTGATGCTGCCTTACCCTTGGACATCCTAACCTACGAAGAGAAGACCTTGTCAGCCATCCTGAGAATATGCAGCAGGTACGACAAACAGCATTTCTAGTATAACGGAGCAGAGAGGGGTGGGGAAATAGAGCCAAAATGCTCTTTTCTGAGAATAAGAGCTTTGTCATTGTGAACTCTGAGCAGCTTTTAGAAGTTTAAACTGGGGAGAACATGAACATTCATCTAGCCGGAGCTTACACCCTAGAGAGCAAAACGTGGATTTGCTTACAACTGTTGTGTTTCCCAATTGATGGTGATGTTGCAACTTCAGAAATATAGCCCTAGCCAGTTTGGCTTAGTGGATAGAGCATCACCTACAGACTGAAGGTTCCTGGGATGATTCTATTATAGTCAAGGGCACGTGCCTGGGTTCCAGTAGGGGGCATGCAGGAGCAGCTGATCAATGATTCTCTCTCATCATTGATGTTTCTCTCTCCCTCTCCCTACCTCTCTAAAATTAATTTAAAAAATATTTTTAAAAAGAAATTTTTTTTAATTCAGAAATATATATCTTAGAAACATTTCTAATTATGGTTCATTTTATTCTCTGCCTATAATATACTATGCTTTAAAGTTTTCTCATTTAAATTGAGTTTTCTGAACTGTCACAAACAAAAGTACTGGAAGATGTTGCAGGGACACATCTTTATGCTTTCTCAATTTTTTCTGCAGTGGTCTTGTCAGATTGTGGAGCTCTTTGACCCTGTTAGGATCCTACAAAGGCAAGAAATGTGCCTTCAGAGTGATTCAGGTAAAGACTATTTTATCACATATTCCAAACAAGGCTGAGGAGTGGATCAAACTGCTTTTTAGAATGTGTTCCATTTTCTGCTTGCATAACTCTAGTTTGGTTACTATCATCCAGCTGGGGAAGAAGGGGAATCCAGGCATTCATTGCTTCTGGAAGCATGAGACCAAGCACTTACAGTTTAGATTGTATGGGAAGAGTTTTGGGATAAAACTTGGAACCTTGTGGAGAAATCTTAACTTTCACTTACTGCGTAATGCCTAGTGACTTGTGTGTTGGAATGCTTTCTGAGCTCATCATGACCACTTGTTAGTATCTGCGGCCATCTCTCAGGATGCTTGTTAAAATGCTACTGCATCAGCATGGCTTATCCTTTCTGCATTGCCCTGCATTTTGGTGCAATTTTCTCCTGATAACTGTGTAAACAGTTTCTTTCTCTTACAGGTTTCTCCATTTCTCCTTGCATTATCTGGCAATAGTAGGGAATTAGTATTGGATTGAATAGCCTTCAATTTCAGAAACATTCCTCTGCTCTCAACACTATCTTTTGGTGCCAGCATAATGCTTGATGACTGAAACAGGCTTAGCGCTCCTGTTGATGGAATTGGAGGGTGCCGAAGATGTTCCCCACAATTTCCAGCCGTCATCTCTGGTGGAGTAGCCTTCAGAGGAGAATCTGCCTGAACCAGCCAGTTGTAAGCAGACAGCACTTTCAGCATTTGCACATCCGAGTTGGAGACCGGGCTGAACTCAGCAGAGCCTTCACACAAAGGGATGTGGTTGTCTTCTCAGAACTAACAGGGGATGTCAATCCTTTGCATTTAAATGAAGATTTTGCAAAACACACCAAGTTTGGGAAGACAATTGTGCACGGAGTTTTGATCAATGGACTTATTTCAGCTCTCCTGGGCACTAAAATGCCAGGCCCAGGCTGTGTATTTATTTCCCAGGAAATTCACTTTCCAGCCCCTTTATATGTTGGAGAAGTGGTTGTAGCTTCTGCAGAAGTGAAAAGGCTGAAGCGGTCCATTGCTGTTATTGCTGTGTCATGCTTTGTGAGAGAAAGTGAAAAGACTGTTATGGAAGGCTGCGTTAAGGTTATGGTCCCAGAAGCTCCCAGCCCCTGAAATAGGCGTTTAAAGGTGCAAGTTCAGGCATCAGTGTTCCTGTTATTGAAGAGCCTCTGAGGAAAACGGATTGCCACTCTTCAACAAGGGGTGGCCAGCAGCCCACAGTGGGGGAGGGCAGGAGGTAGCGAGGTGTTCACATGTCCACTTTCTATTTTGGCCTTAGGCTTCATACAGACGAGTCTATCATCTGAGTTTGTAAATTTGAAAAAATATGGGTTTTTCTTAGCTCAAAGTGCTAATTTTAGGATTTCAAACCAAGTTAAATTTGCATTTGGATAACAAACTTTCCTATATCTGTGTAGAATAAGTCTCAGTGAATTTATAGCTAGGTAGCATTTAATTTTTGACGGCAACTAGAATAGAAGTTGGGTCATCTTTGAACACCTGTCTTTTAGCAACAAATATTCTTAGATACTGTTCTTCAGCAGTTTCTGGGTCAGAGTGTTTTGTAATTTGTTACTGTTTATACCAAGATGGCACCTTGCTTAACTTTCAAGTGGTACATGCCTCTCAGATGGTTTCTTGTTATCAGAGAAAGCTTTAAACTCAGTTATGTAAACTCTTGGTCTAACCTATAAAATGGGGGTAATAACACCTACCACAGGATTATTGGAGATACAAATAGCAAAGCACCTAGCCTGTAAACAATAGCTACTATTGTTCCTTCTCCCCTGTGAATGAGGTTAGAGGTTTTCCCCAGTTTAAAGCTAACTGGCCCGCAGGTAAACAGGCCAGTCTTTCAGGATGTCAACCAATCTCTTGGTATTTTAAACCTGGAATAGCTCTTGAGTGCAAAATTTCTATTTTAGCAATCCAGATTATTTTCTCCCTTCCTTGATGATGTGGGTTCCTCCCATATATAAATAATGTATACCTATTGTAAAAAATTTTATAAGAAATAAAAAGTATAAGGAACACCGTGGAGGCCAAGTTCTTCAGATTGGGGGGCATTAAAGAGAAAATGTGCCTAATGTGTTAGTATTCAGTGGTCATCCCAACCCAGCTAACCCTTTAAAGACAGTCTGTGACGGAACATGCATGTGGCCCATCTGAATGGCTCCGACCATGGCGAGATGCTCTGATCAGGAAAGTAAAATCAAGTGTAATTGGTAGAGTCAACCCACATTTCCTGGAAAAATGTTTTTTTCTCATAGTAGATCTATAACTAGATTTTTATTTTAGATTTTTACATTAAGAGGATCAGTTAAACGGATTACTTGAAAGAATTCTAGTCACTAGAGGGCAGTGATGTGTGTAAAGTATTTTTAAACTTGTTTAATATTGTACCATACTCTAGTTTGTGATTGGAATAAAAAATAATTCAAATCAGTGAGAAACAAGGGTGCCATTCTCATGCATTTCAGAATGGGCAGTGTTCACAGGCTCATAGCTACAGGCTTGCTGATGATAAAGCACTGCACATGTTGGAAATTTGATACCACGTTGAAAAAATGGGGAACTTGCACAAAATGTGGACTTGAAGCCATATTCAAATTCTATAGAACTCATTCTCTGTGACTTAGCAGCAGTCTTGAAAAGGAGTATGATACCATCATTAATACTAATAGCTACCTTTTCCTCAATACTGGATGAGCCTGTTTGCTACATTAACTAATCCTTTGAACAACTTTGTGAAGTTAAACTTATGTTGTCCTATCAATATTTTATAGGCAAAGAAACAGACTAATGCAGTGTGACTTGCCCAGGGTTGTTCTGTGCATATGCAGGAGAGCTGGGATTCAGACGAGCCTGGCAGGCTCCAAACATTTCTTTTTTACATCACCCTGTGTCTTATGTTCCCATTACTAAAGCAATGTCAGTTTCTATAATAATATCTTTTTATGGCCATTGAAAGTATCAGGAAACATCATTCTATAGGATCTTTCTTATATTCAGAATGTTCTAGATCCTATTCCCTGCTCTAGTGTAGCATTTTCTTATATACAATTACTTTATGCCTTCCATCCATACCTATTCTTATCCTTTTTTTAAGTTGACATTCAGTGATTAATTGTCTCCAGAGCAGATTTACTGAAAGAGTTATTCTAAAGATGAAAAATTACGTGTAGGCCAAATATTTGGGGGGGTTGAGGGGGGGGCAGGGCAGGAAGGGCTGTTAGCTGATTTATATTGTATAACTCAAAAGTATTTTCTCAAGCTCATTTCCTTTTTCTTTAATGCTCCCTAAGTGTCATGATCTTTGATCTCTATAAATCAGTAAAACGTTGAATAGATGAGTAGGCAAGAAGTTAAGGATGCTTCTCTGTAAATGATGATTTGTTATTTTTACTCAGCCAAGATTTTCAAAGCAGATATGTTAAAGCTGGCAATAAGAAAAACTAGCGGGTTGGCTTTTTCATTTTGAATCCTGCATGGGTAAGCTGCTGGAAAGAATGACTTGTAATGGAAGTGTGGGTGACCCTCAAATTGGGAAATCTTCCAGCTAACAGAGATGGCTTTGACCATGTGAGGTCACACATGGAAGTGAATACAAATGACTGACTAAAATAGCAGGCCAAAGTGTACTAGTACTTTCCACATAGGGGCATTATAATACTACAATTTATGCAATGTTTGATTGTCACAGGAAGATATACTCATCTTAAGCAATTTCAACCTAATGTACTGGAAAATTGCTTAACAGATTTTTTTTATATTCTATTAGAAACATTTCTATATTGGTAAAATGCCACGTTTCATTTTCTGAGCAGCAAATCTTGAGTAACAGGAGAAAGCCTCACCACAGCCACCATTCCTCTTGTGGACTTGACTTGTATATTTATCTAGAAAAACAAGAAATTGCTAAATGCATGCTGGTAGCTCTTAGGTAACCACAGGTTTTCATTTTGTGCTAAATTACTAGCTTTTTTTTTTTTTTATGTTCTTAGTGTATGATTCAGAGCAATTTACTCCCAAAGGAAATTGCTATAAATTACAACTATTAAATTTTTATATTAAAACATACTCCACCAAGGGCTGTCACTCTGAGCAGCTGTGCCACTCTGAATGCTTCATGTGTTGGCATAATTTATTAACTGGCTCCGTCTGTGCAGAATGGGAGAACTGTGGAATGTCTCTTAGGCCGCACTTGAACGTCTCCAAGGCCCCAGATGTTTTACTTCCTTTGTTCTTGGTTTGTCTTCATTTGGGTTACAGAAACAGCAGAGACAAGAATTCCCAATGTCTTCAGTGAAACTTCAGGTTGGAGCAAAATCAACTAGAAGAAATTTAAGTTCAAATCACAGGAAAACCCAAAACTAATGTTGACATTACATGAATAGGACTGAATTAATTGGTCCCATAGTTAATTTCTAGATGCCTATTAGCTATTATATATATATATATATATATATATATATATATATATATATATATATATATATATATATATATATATATATATATATATATAAGGCTAATATGCATAGGGTCCCCTCAGGAGTTTGACAGGGAGAATGGGAGTTCAGTTACTTGCTATGATGTGTGCTGACCACCAGGAGGCAGCGTGGAACATGGCAGGCAACCAGTAATGACAGTGGGATGCTGAGAGAGCAAAGGAAGGAGGAGGTGGGTAGTGGAAGGAGAGGGGAGCAGGGTTTGGGGGAGGGTGGCATGGTGGTAGCAAACATGAGTGGCAAGGGAAAGAGGAGGTGGGAGAATGATGAGCCCTGGTCACTGGCCAGGCTTAGGAACCCTACCTGTGCATGAATTTTGTGCACCAGGCCTCTAGTAGTTCATATGACCTTAGAAACTGGGAATATTCCTCTGCAATGTGATGAGGAATAAGAGAAATAAGAATGATCAAATTTGAGTTGAATTTTGTATTTCTATCCAGATCATGAAGTTTACAGTTGTCGGGCATATGAAAACACCAGGAGAAAATAAATGGCAGCTTCAAAGTCTTTCCTTCCTAGGAGAGGAGTACCCAGGCACCAGTGTTAGGATTGGCTGTCTGGCTGTTGGTTTGTTTGAATATTAAAAGAAATAAGTCATTTTGGGTTGGGAGGCGATGCTGCTTAGGAAGCACTGAGTTTTCCACAAGCTTCTATGATCTGATGTGTGGAGCAGTTGCCAGGTCTAACAGCATCCTCACTAAAACTCGTCTTCAGCCAATCTGGCCAAACGTGAAGTTATTAGATAACCTATGGGCATCTAACATTTGACAACATACAAGAATGCAAATCTTTTGTTTCTTCCTGCCTGCCCTGAGTAGTAATGTATGTGGCAAAAACTAAGGTCCTGCATAATGCATTAGCTTTGCTCAGACTGAGACTGGGAGGAAAGCTAACTTAATTAAGCTCAGCTCTCCCTGGCGAAGGTCCCCCTTGCTGTGTGAGCCACTTCAAAAGCCAAAAGGGTGTTGAGGCTGTTGTAGGGTTCAGGGCCAGGTCTCCAGTGAATCTAGGGATTCAGTTAAGTTCAAGGTCCTAAGAGGATCACTGACGAGGCACTGATTTGGGAAGATAAAAATGAAATTATAAACTGCACTATAGTATTTATTCTGAGGGGCTTAGTTCAGGCAAGAATTTCCAGAGAAAGGGAAAGGCTAGACTGAAAACTGGTTTCTGGTTCCATTCCATTCAATATCTGGTTTCTCACTTTCAGTTTCCTTTTCCTAGTGAGGAAGGCTAGACAAGGTTGTTATTTTATGACCTTTGCAACTCATTGTATGATACTATTTCCCCCCCTAATCATACAAGTAAATTATCTCCATGAGAGACATTTTGAAAAACGAGAGCATAAAAATGGAAAGCATCATGATCTCACTTCCTAAGAACCCTAAGTTAATATTTTGGTGTATTTTCTTTTGGTGTTTTTCCTATAATATATATTTTTAAAACTTGGTGCCATACAAATACATATACAGTTGACACTTGAACAATGCACAGGTTAGGGACACTGATCTCCATGCAGTCAAAACTCCGCAAATAACTTTTACCTACCTCAAAACCTAACTACAGCCAACCCTTGGTATCGGATTGGTTCCAGGCCCCCCCCTCCCCCCATGGACACCCACATCTGCAGATGCCCAAGTCCCTTATATAAAAAAGCATAGAGCCCTAACCGGTTTGGCTCAGTGGATAGAGTGTTGGTCTGCAGACTCAAGGATCCCAGGTTAGATACTAGTCAAGGGCATGTACCTTGGTTGTGGGCATATCCCAAGTAGGGAGTGTGCAGGAGGCAGCTGATCGATGTTTCTCTCTCATTGATGTTTCTAACTATCCCTCTCCCTTCCTCTCTGTAAAAAAAAAAAAAAAATCAATTTAATATATATATATATTAAAGGCATAGAAAAAAAGCATCTGCAGATTCCCAACTATGTACCAAAATACTGAACAATTGGTTTGATCTATGGATACAAAACAGGAAGTACTGAGGGCTGACTATATTTATTGAGGAAAAAAACCCAGGGATAAGTGGATCTGCACAGTTCAAACCTGTGTTGTTCAAGAATCAACAGTGTTTTTTTCCACCTACTATTATATAAAGAGCACTTCTTGACATCATTAAGTATTTTTTTGATAATCTGGTTTTTTAATCTTATTTTTAGTCATTGAAAAATATTCCATTTATGATTAACCATGATTTGTCCAATTTCCTCTTGTTAGATTCTTATCCTCACATGCTGTATATTTCCACTGATCTCTGATTATTTCCTTAGGGTACCCTCCTAGATATAGAATCATTGAATGAGAACATTTTCAAAGCCCTTGATAAATATTGTTGAATCCCAGCACCAGACCTATTATCTGGTAAGTACTCAGTGAATAATTGTTGAATGAATGAATAACTGCCTTTCAGGAAGGTTGGAGCATTTCAGAGACCCACCAGCAGGATGCAAGAAGGGCTTTGGCATGGCCAGTGCACAGGATTGGAGAATTGATTAAAGCAGAATTTGGGTATGTGTGATTCTGGCAATGAAATAATCCATTTGCATTAAAAAATAAAAGTTACAAGTTGAACCCTCTCTAAGTGATATAAGATTTTGTTTTAATAGACTGGTGGCTTTTAAACCCTCTGGGCTTGGCCAGCATGGCTCAGTGGTTGAGCTCGACCTGTGAACCCGGAGGTCATGGTTCGATTCCCAGACAGGGCATATACGTACTGGGTTGCAGGCTCAATCCCCAGTGTGGAGTGTGCAAGAAGCAGCCAATCAATGATTCATCATTGATGTTTCTATGTCTCTCTCCCTCTCCCTTCCTCTCTGATATCAATTTTTAAAATTTGTTTTAAAATAAATAAATACACTTGGACAAAAATGGGATGTAAGAAGAGTTCTGATAATTTCAGGATTGAGCTAAGAAGTGCCATGCTTTCCTCATCACATCTTTATCCATTGGGTTTTGGCCCCTATGTTGCTCTGTCAAGGCTCCTTAGCCATTTAGGATTGCCCAACAATCCCACTAAGTTTGAGATCTGGAGAGAGTACCCTTTAGATACTAGGCCTTTGCTTTGATGTCAAATTTGGGGGTATTGATGGTGGTGGTGTTACTAAGAAACATTGTTTTCTTGTCTGAAATGCAGAAATTTAGGGGATACAAATTTAAGAGTTAGAAACCTCTATTATGTGAACTGAAGGGAAGGAAGGAATATTGAGCTTTTATTATATGCCAAGCCCCTTCCCCTCCTACTTCATTCTTCATATCAACTTTTTCGTACAAGTATTATTTCTATTTTACACATGGCTCAGAGAGGTTGAGTAACTTCTTCAATATCACACAGCAGTGGAAATGCCAGAGCCCTAGAGATCCCGGTCATCTAATTCCAAGTCTAACTCTGCATCATCCTGGAGTGCTGCCCTAGGACAGAGCAGGGCATGTGTGTGTGTCTGTGGGGGGAGGGTAAAGGGTTAGGATAGGGGCGTTGGTAAGGAGTGCCAGTTTGTGACCTTGGGTTCAGACAGACTACGGGACAAATTTGGGGCCAAGAAGTTGGGCACAAAGTTCTCTGGCTCTGGGTTTGAGATTCTTCATGAGAGCCCCCAAGTCTGAGGGATCTTGTTTGAGGGTTCTCAGGGTTGAAGGCCTGTGGACTGAGCTAAGAGCTGGACCAAGGGTAGAGGCTGGGAGTCGCTGGACCAGTGCCCAGTTTTTAAGGTTCCCATTTATTCAAAAGAGCTTGGGTCTAAGGGTTCTGGAGTCCGGGGGCTCCCACTGTGAGGCTAATTCTGAGGGCCCAGCTCTTAGGTTCTTGGGTCTGAAGAGCGAGGTGCAAACATGCCCTTACAACCTGACTTGGAGAGACTTGTTTTTAGAAAATCTCTGGATCTACAGGGATCCAGACTGAGGCCTTTTTTCTGGGTCTTAGGGTCCTTGGGTCTGAAAGGCTTGGGTGGAAAAGGTCCAGTTGTAAAGCTTTCCAGTCTGACAGTCCAGCTTCTGAGAGCTTCATGTGTCAAGCCCAACACTGAGCGGGTTGGTTTTGGGGATCTGCGGGCCTGAGGGTCCCTGGATCACAGGGCGGAGGACACGGTGCCCTCGGATCTGAGGATCTCTGGAGGTGATGGCTTAGGGAGGGTGACGTGTCCGCGGGCCAGAGGGCCAGGGCTAAGGGTACCACCCCGTGTGCGGAGCGGCTGCAAGGACCTTGGAGAATAATAGCGGGTCCAGGCAACACCGGCCGATGCCGTTAGGCGCTAGGACCCCGCGGAAGGCGGCGGCGCGGAGAGTGGCCAGCGCCGAGCGCAGGGGCGGTGCGGACGGGCGGCGTTAGGACCCCGCGGGCCGGGCCGGAGGGCGGCGGCGGCGCGTGGGGCGGTGCGTGTTGACAGCGGCGGCGGCGGCGGCGGCGGAGCCGGGCGGGCGGGAGTCTGCGCCTGCGGTTCCTGCCCCTGGACCCCAGGCGGCGGCGGACCGGCGTTCCCGGGATGGCCTTCATGGAGAAGCCGCCGGCCGGCAAGGTGCTGCTGGACGACACGGTGCCGCTGACAGCCGCCATCGAGGCGAGCCAGAGCCTGCAGTCCCACACGGTGCGCGGCCCGCCCGGCGGCCCGGGCCCGGGCGGCGGGGAAGCCGGGGCGGGGACGCAGCGGGGGTCGGCGGCCCCGGCCGGGAGGGGGCTTTGGGTGGCGGCGGGTCTGGGTCTGGGTCCCGAGCGAACCCTGAGGTCCGGAAGGGGAGATCGCAGCCCCCAGGGCCAAAGAGCGGGAGGGGCGCAGCGGTGCCCCGGAGGGACCCCAAATGGGGGGTGCCGATGGGGTCCCGGGCCGGCCTGGGGCCGGCGGGGTTCACAGACCCCTCAGGACCCTCTCACCCACGTCTGCCCGCCGCCAGCCTTCTCTCTGGGGCCGCTGGTTCCCCGCCTTCCCGCCGGGATCGGAGTGGTGGGAGGGAGGAGGGTGTGCCGGGCCAAGTGCACACAGGACCCGGGGCTGCTCCCGGCCGGCGGCGGAAGCCCGGGGTCTGCAGCCCGGGCCGGTCAGGTGCGTGGCCTGGGCCGGGCCCGGAAGCCGCGGGAGCCGCCTGGGCCCCGCTGAGGCAGGTGTTTGAATGGGCTCCTTCCCGGCGCGAACCTGTTATTTAGTGGGCGGTGGTAGCATTCATGTGAGTTTAACATCCACTGGAGCAGCATAAAGGAGTAATAGGTCCTCATAGTAAACACAGGCAGAGTTCATTTCTGTTACATACGCTGTCTTTCATGTGGCTTTAAACCCAGGGCTGTTTTCATTTGTCATACCTTTTTTTTTTGAAAGCACACCGTACATTATAATTTACAGGTAATAAACCCAAGAACCAGGAAGGTAAACAAGGAGCTGCCAGCCAGTGGGACTTTGGGAAGTAATGAATGGGAAGAGAGAGATTTCTTAAATTGTAATGTTTTGTGAGGTCCATCGAATCCGATCCCGCCTCACAGGCTTGTTTGTTTACCAGGGCAGCGTGTTTGGGGTTCAGCATCTGGAGGCGAGGGCCCCCACAATAGCCTTCTGTTTCCCTTTTTTGTTCAAGCTGTTCTGGCGACTTCAAAGGGACCTTTTATTCTGCTATATTGAAGTGGGACTTTTGAACCTCAGTTTCCTCTTCCGACAGCTATGCCTTGTGAGGCTTGGATTGTTCAGTGTTCATTTCCAGTTAAGAAAATGATCGTGTGTGTGGTTTTTTTTAAAATATAATACTTTATATTATATTGTTTACAGTTTTTGTTAATGGAGATATTTTCCCATTGATTTTAGAGAGAGTGGAAGAGAGAGGAAAAGACAGAAAATAATAAGGATGTGAGAGAAACACATGGATTGGTTGCCTCCTACACGTGCCCAGATGAGGGCCTGGACCAGGGGAGGAGCCTGCAGCCGAGGTCTGTGCCCTTGACTGGATCGAACCAGGACTTTATGGTCCGCAGGCTGGCGCTCTACCCACTGAGCCAAACCAGCTAGGGTAATGATCGTATTTTTTTAAGGTACATATTATTTCATTGTGCATATCTTTAATCCTGTTCTACAGACTTGTGAGAAGGTAGTATATAGGACAGAATTTGTTAAACTCTATAATATGTGCTAAGGGAGTGTGAGGTAAGGGTTGAAATCTAGGGTAGGGAGTCAAGAATAAATTCTTTTTTTCTAAATGTTTTAAAATATTTTGTTGATTGATTTTAGGAGAGAAACATCAATTTGTTGCTTTACTTATTTATGCATTCTTTGATTGATTCTTGTATATGCCCAACTGGCAATCAAACCCGCAACCATGGCATATCTGGACCACGCTCTAACCAACTGAGCTACCCGGCCACAGCCAGGAATAAATTCTGCTATTAAATTTGATTTTTGACTTGACTGTTGGCAAGTAAATCTTATAACCTTTTAAGAAGTGGAGTTGAGTCTTTTAATTTTGTTTTATACTGAGAATAAAGAAAGAGATGCTTGTAAATGCCCACAGATCACTTCTTCCAGAAATCATTCCATGATGGCCTGCCCTAAGCCATGTGCTCACCTCTACCCTAATGTTGACCAGCTGATTCTATGATAACTTCTCTTAAAAAAAAAAAAAGCAGACAAGAATTTATTGACCACAGCAGAACTATACTTAGGACAGTGAGACAAAGAAGGGCATAGAAGTAGTAGCAGGAGAGCCTTAGGGAGGGCTGCCTGGCTCTCTGGGAAGTCAGAGGAAATGAGGGGAAGGGCCCTGGGAACAGGTTCAGGGAGTTAGTCCAGGACAAGCTGCCACTGCCCATTGCTCCCCTGGTTGCAAGTCTCATAGGGTCCCTTAGAGGATATGTGCCTGGTAGGGCAGAAAACTAAAGTAGTAATTACAGGCACTCTCCCCTTTCTTACCCCCAAACCCCCACAGAAGACAAGAAAAGGTCTCCTCATCTAGACGCTAACATCTTTTTGGTGCCATGACTCAAAATTGTAGAAACCGTGTACCTACATCACCACGTCTGTGTGAAAATGATGTCACTAGCAAGTGTCAGCCCAAACCCCTACCTACGAAGGTCTTGCCTCTTCCAACCCAAACATACTCTGTATGTTTCTGTCCTATAGCCACGGAGTGGCTTCCTAGAGACTCAGCATTTCAGAGAAGACGCCCCTCTGACTTCTGAGACACCGTCTCCCTTCTTCAGCTAACAAGCCAGAAAGCCATCTTCAACCTCCCCCCAGAAAACAATGCCTTTTTGGTGCCATGACAAGCCAGAAAGCCATCTTCAACCTCACCCCAGTGGGAGGTGAGAAGAAGACGGGAAATCGAACCCCAGGCTGAGCCGTACCAGTTGGGCAAACCGTTTACCCTTGTGTCCTTGGTTTAAGGAAGATAGGATTTCCTAGGTGGACAAACTGCTGTTTAACCATCGGTCTCAGTTTCCCTATTCCGCTTGTCCTAGAATTTTCCTAGCTTCTTGCTATTCTATAACATTTCCCCCTCAGAGACTTCCACCCCTAGAATCTTTTAGGGTTGATGAGGGAGGATGGTCTGCTTTCAGTAAGTGCCTCCTGTTGATAATGGTATATGTTAGACTCGTCTCTCTTCGTGTCTGATCTAAGGGAGACAAGGGAATGGGGTTTGAGACTGGAATAGAGAGGTTTTTGGCTGTTTCTTCTAAAGTAGGGATGGACTGGAATTCCAGAAGTGACATCATTTTCACACAGACGTGGTGATGTAGGTACACGGTTTCTACAATTTTGAGTCATGGCACCAAAAAGATGTTAGCATCTAGATGAGGAGACCTTTTCTTGTCTTCTGTGGGGGCTTGGGGGTAAGAAAGGGGAGAGTGTCTGTAATTACTACTTTAGTTTTCTGCCCTACCAGGCTGTGAGAGGAGAGATACTACTACTTCTTCTTTTTTTTAAAAAAAATATTTTATTGATTTTTTTATAGAGAGGAAGGGAGAGAGAAACAGAGAGAAACATCGATGAGAGTCATTGATCAGCTGCCTCTTGCACGCCCCCTACTGGGGATGTGCCCGCAACCAAGGTACATGCCCTTGGCCGGAATCAAACCCAGGACCCTTCAGTCCTCAGGCTGACGCTCCATCCACTGAGCCAAACCAATTTTGGCAGGAGGGATACTTACTCATTTTTTTTTTTTGGTCTCAGTCCCTGGCATCTGAGGATTTCATTTGTGCTTGATGAATGATTAGTAAATGAATTGTAACCTCACTTGGCCGCCCCTTCTGTTTGTGTAAAATGGTTGTGATGAAAATGGGGACAACATGGTATCTGAGGCACTAAGTTAAGGGGTCAGTGCTTCAGCAAAGCGGTAAGAGATATAATGGAATTCCTGTTCTATTGCAGAGATTTTCTCTAAGGAAGAAAGTAAAGTAATTGAGGGTAGAGAGAATGGCTGTTCCTGTAATGATGACTGAACACAAATGACAGTGACTCACAGGAGACTCATAGAAGCAGATGTGTTGGAGTGGGGGGAAAATGTAGCATTGTCTTGCATGATTTTTTATTCCTCTGTGTTCTTGTTATTTTAGTTGTAAAATCTGAGACTGAGAAATGTTGCATCAGCCCTGAACTTTATTGAGAAAATCATATGCTGATGCAAGTGTTTTGGACTACTAGTGCCTTCCGAGTAAGTCCCTCTAAAACAGGAACTGTTGGGAATTATTTTGGAAACTAGTTGTTGAGGCTGGTGCATAGGAGAAAAAGGCATTGTTTTCTGGGGGGAGGTTGAAGATGGCTTTCTGGCTTGTTAGCTGAAGAAGGGAGACAGTGTCTCAGAAGTCAGAGGGGCGTCTTCTCTGAAATGCTGAGTCTCTAGGAAGCCACTCCGTGGCTATAGGACAGAAACATACAGAGTATGTTTGAGTTGGAAGAGGCAAGACCTTCGTAGGTAGGGGTTTGGGCTGACACTTGCTAGTCGTGTGACATTGATTGGGTGAGTCAGAACCTTTTTACAGAGGGGAAGGGAGAGGGGGAGAGAAAGAGAGAAACATCCCTGATGAGAGAGAATCATAGATCGGCTGCTTCTTGCATGCCCCACACTGGAGTTCAAGCTTGCAACCTGGGTGTGTGTCCTGACCGGGAATCGAACTGTGACCTCCTGGTTCATAGGCTGACAACTCTACCATTGAGCCACGCCGGCCGGGCACTTAACCTTTTTGATGTTTAGTTTTGTCAACTGTAAATAGGTTAATAAATGCCTACCCTACTGGCCTCTCGAGGCTGTTACCATGAACAAATGAAGTAATCTTTCTGAAGTGTCTGTAAAGTGCACTCCTTCTTCTGTCTATTTACTCCCTGGTGACACGTGTGCAAAGGGTTAAATACATTAAGATGCTAGTATTGCAAGTCAACTAATTTCTGACCATTGTTCCTTTGGTTCATTAGCCTTGAGAAATAAGAATTTATAGCAGAAAGTTTTAAGTTACCTATGATTCAGGCTTTATGGACTGGAGAGGGAAAGATTTTGTCACGTGAGAAGTAGAGCTGCCAAAAGGACGATGGGAGCACATGGTTACCACCAGGAAAGCGTGTTGGGGTGAACAACTGGCAGGGAGGGTTCAAGGTGGTGGGTGATTCTGGGCCTGACTGGTTCGAATGATTTCATTTTTACTTTTATGGAACACAGTGAGTTAGCGCCAGAAAATAGACCAGGCCTCTGCCGCAAGGAAATGGAGGTTCTGTAAAACCAGAAAGGACAGTATTGGAGAGAGGATGTGTTTAGCATTAGGAGGAAAAGGAAGGACTTTCCAAACAAGGAATTCTGGTAAGAAGCCATGTGGGTAAATGGTGGGAAAGTCTGGGAGGACTAAGAGAAGACAAGGAAAATCTGTAAGTTCTTGGCTACATGGAAAGGAAAACTTTGAAAGCCGGTTGACTGAAAAAATGCCTACTTAGCTGAAATAGAAACCAGAGGACATGGCCAGTTTTGGGGAGGGTTGTTATCAAAGAGGCACATCCGATTTTTGCTGGCTAGCGTGCTGTGGTGTGATAGCTCTGTCTCAGTTTTCTCCTTTTTAAATGTTCTTCTCCGAGGTTCCTCTGAATCGGGGCCTATTTTCTTTGTGTTTTGTGCATTTTGTTCTTGAGATCCAAAAGATAATTTTAGTGATACGTAAGCCATAACAGAAAAAATTCTAAATCTGTGGAACAGATAAGATTTCATGTTAATATCTTTACTGAAAATGGATCTCAACTTGAACCTTTGACTTTAGAAACTGCATTCCTGCACTGTTCATCTATTCCGCAATACTCATCCATTTGATAAAAATGTAGTGAGTGCCTACCGAGACCATGCCAGGCGCATGTGGGAGACATATGGATTGTGATCTTGAGATTGTCCAAAATGCAGAGTTTTGATTTAGGGTCCAAATGAGGCCGTTTGGAGCAAGTAACACAAACCCACTGCAGGCAGGTGATGGTGAACCAGGCAGCTTCTGCTCTTTGGGGCTTTGTTCGTCTCCCATTTTACACAGCGTCGGCAGGTGACCCAGGATCTTCATCTATCACAGCACCAGTGGTTTTGAAGTTCCTCTTGTGGTTTGATTTTTTGAGCTTCAGCTTCTTAGTCAGTGACCTTTTTTCATAGTGTTTAAAATTTTATTCATACATTATCAGAATACGGTTAACCTAAAAACATTCAAACTGTAAAGAATTTTTGTGAATTTATTTGAGCCAAACTGTCGACAAATGCCAGGAAGCAGAACCTCAACGAATTGAGAAAATGCTCTGGAGAATGGAGGGTTGCATCTATATTTATACATTGCCATCAAAGGTTACATGAAATCCATTGATGATAGACTAGAGAGGCAGGAGAAAGCAAAGCGGAGGGGCCGAGGAGGAGGAGGAACCCCTGGGATTGAATAAAAGGTAAAATGATAGACACATATTTAGGCAGGTGCAGGAACCATTAACATGTAACAATGAAGGAATTTGTGGCATCTGTCCTGGCACCCACAACATTAGGTTGTGCCCCAAGGGCTCCAGAAAAAGGGAAGTTACAAGTTACCCAGACATTTCAAGGGTGTGTTATCATAGGTGCAAAAGGACAGATGGGCTCAGTTAAGGTAAAGGTTGACCTTGTCAGTGAAGATACGGACCTATGCCCCCCATAACTGCGTTTAGTTCAAGTTTAGTTTCAGATCATCCTTTGTGATTACTCTAGGTCTCTGATTTTGCAAGACCGCCATGCAGGCCTCCCCTGAGCTTGTCAGGCCAGCATGTGGCCCCTTTCGTCCACAGCACCTATGCAACATGTGATGCCAGTTGTCCTCAGATCCTGACATTTTAAGGTGATCCAGTGCTCAGTACCAGAACCTTTCTGGCTTTCCCTTTGGGATAATATCTGGAAGTTTTTTAGAATTCCAATTTATACTGAATACTTTTAAAGTTTTTTTTTTGTTTGTTTCTTTAATTAAAATGTTTGGAAACAAAATCCATATGGATTGTGATCTTGTTTGGATGCAGATAGTATGGGAGTTAACTTGTAGCACTTCCATACATTATAATAAAATAATAATAGTTCTTTTCTGGCAAGATAATCAATCGTCTTCTCTTTGGTTATGTAATTTTCCTCATTTGTCCTTTAAACCTGGGATGGATGCAGTCAGAAAACCGAGTTGCGAGCTTTTAGAAACTGGTCAATTAGAAATTGTAAATAATTGCTTCCTATTGAAGAAGATAATTTTTTGCAGCCAGATTTAGGGCTTGGTGATTCTTAATCCTCACATATCACGTCTTCTGAGGGTTATCACACTAGACAGGCTTCATGTGATAGGAATACGCACAAGAAGCTGACTATCGTTAGTAGTAGGAGATATGGGATTCTGGGGCTGAAGTTTATTTCATGTGGAAGGTAGTTACATGTCTTGGTTCCTAGGGGAATCACGGGAGCAGCCACCCTGTGTACACAGCTTCCATCTGGATTGTGATCTTGAGATTGTCCAAAATACAGAATTTTGACTTAGGGTCCAAATGAGATTGCTTAGAGCAAGTAATACAAACCCACTGCAGGCAGGTTCTTTTTCAAGCTGCTAGAGGTTTCTGGCACTTCCCGTGAAATGAAGCTCTTTGTCTGGCTGCATGGCTCAATGGTTAAGCATTGACCTGTGAACCAGAGGATTAGGGTTTGATTTCGGTCAGGGCACATGCCCACATTTTGGGCTCGATCCCCCATTGTTGGGCATGCAGGAGGCAGCCGATTAATGATTCTCATCATTGATGTTTTCTATCTCTCTCTCTCCCTCTCCTTTCCTCTCTGAAATCAATAAAAATATATTAAAATAGAAAAAAATGAAGCTCCTTTACGTTCGTTCCAGCCTTTGGCATCCTGAACATGAGAGACCTGGACCCGAACATTGTTTTAGAACTCAGAAGTGCTTTCCTGTTTGGGATGTTGTGGGAGGGAGAGCAGTAGGCTTTCTCATTGTTTTTCCTCTCACCCAGGAAGTCCTTGTCAGTGACTTCTTTCATGAATGAGATGCGCTTGGAAGGGGGAAATGAAGGTGTGACTTCTTTTCAGAGAAGATAACAGACATAATTTCAGTTTAACACTTGTGACTAAGGACCAGGGACAAGCACTTAGTGGGTAAATACTTGGACTGCAGGAGGGGAAGAGTTTGTGCAGAGTGAGGGAAGAGTTTGTGCAGAGTGACCATTTGTCTCCAGCTGATCTTGCTGACTACCGAATTCGTGGAAGGTCTGGCTGCTTCTGACTGGAGATCCAGCTGTCGTGTTGCTTCCTGCTTACTTACTAACATGGTGCAGTTGAGAGCAAAAGGGAATTCCATTGTCATTACTGTCTTCAGACGATCCAGATGGCCGAGAGAGTACTCTTCTGTTTATTAACGTGTTAGTTTGGGGAATTCTTCCTGGAAAGTTTTTTTTTTTTTTTAACAGCTTTGTGTAATGCACATACTATTCATGTTACCCATTTAAGATAAACACCTCAATGGCTTTTAGTATATTCGCAGAGTTCTGTATTTTATTACCATAATCAATTTTATAACTTTTTTATTACTCTGAAAAGGAACCTTGAGCCCTTTACCTTTACCCTGGAAAGTTTTTATAATGTTGCAAGGTGCTAAACTCAGGATATATTCTAAGCACAAGGTCTTTAGCTCTTCAGATCTGCTCCTTTAGGGGTCTTATCAGAGGGACAAATTCTCCATGAACACTCGTATACACATGTTTCTGTAAGCTCTCAGAACCTCACTGACCTAAAACCTGCTCTTAGGCTCTGGATCGCTGCTGGGAAAATTACTATTAAGAACTGTAAACTTGGAGAATTACTTATTCTGTTGGTGAGATAAGTGCATCTTAATGTGTACACAACTACAGATACCCTACTTGATGAAAATGCTATACTTAGAACAGCAGATGAATTCTGTCCTGTTGGTGAAAAATTGCTATAGGTGGCAGCTTGCCTAGTGCCTAGCTGTGCGTGCCTAGCTGACATCAGAGTGCTGGGAAGCAGGGTGCCTGAGCCCTGGCCAGGGTTCCGCCTGCCATCACAGCACCTCTGTCTGTGAGACCTAAACAAGGCTGCCCACATTTCTTTGACATGGCTCATCAAAAACAGGTCATTTCTCTCCTCATTAGTTCAGTGGAAGCTTTTTTTCTGGTGGAGGAGAAGGGGATGAATGGAGTGTCAGCATGGCAGAATCCTGTTTGTAAAAATATCTAAGGACCACCTGCCGAGGGGAAAAGAAAAGCAGTGGTCAATCCAGGGCCTGCCTTTGAGCCGGCCCTCCCTCTCCGCCTCCCGGTGACAAGTGATTCCTGGGCAGGGACTCACTGCACTTTAACACACACACACACACACACACACACACGCACGCACGCAGGTACGTACGTGCATGCACCCTTTCCTGTTTGCCTGAATTGGGCCTGCTTACACTAGACCTTCAGTGTCAGGCCAGGGATTGGGCCAGCTGGGCAGCACCCACGGACCCAGCAGGACACAGGGCATGGCCGGGAGGTGGCTGACACCTTCAGAATGCTGCTTCCTGGGAAAGGCACGGTGTTCGCTGTAGACCAGCTACTTCTTTTCCCCGAAGTGGACGTGTGTGTGCCCTGGGGTTGGACAGTTTTCTCTGTGTCTGTGGCAGAAAGCCTCTAAGGAGCTGGCAACGTTAGCAAGCACCTGTGAAGAGGGTGCTGTGTGCCAGGCTCTGTGCTGTGTGCTACAATAGAAGGTGAATAAAGCAGGGAGCTTACAGAGGTGGCAGACACCTGAACCAGAGGTGATGGAGGGTACTGAATGCGCTGCTGGTCTGCCTGGGAGCAGTGAAGGCACTGTGGGATAGCTCCCCCCACCCAGGACCCCCTAGGTTCAGGGAATTAGGAAAGGCTTTCAGAGGACATGTTCTAAATCCACATTACCCCTGTTATACTTTTCTTTAAAAAAAAAAAAAAAAAAAAAAAAAAAAGACGTTTTTCTTTTCTTTTAAAAAAAGACATATTTTTCTTTTCTTAAAAAAAAAAAGACATATTTATTTGTTTGTTTTTCCTTCTTTCTATGTGAGATGGTTGATCTTGAGCCTGCAGGGAGCAAGCTGGCTCCAGACTTCTCCAAGTCCGCATTGCTTTGCCTCCAATTCTTATGTGTTCAAAGACAGGGAACCACAGACACACCTTTGTAGGAGGGTTTAATATATATATATATATATATATATATATATATATATATATATATATATATATATGTATGTGTATATATATATATATCTATGTGTGTGTGTGTGTGTGTATTATTGATTTCAGAGAGGAAGGGAGAGGCAGAAACCTCAATGATGAGAGAGAATCATTGATGAGCCGCCTCCTACATGGCAGAAACCTCAATGATGAGAGAGAATCATTGATGAGCCGCCTCCTACATGCCCCCCACTGGGAACCTAGCCCTGCAACCCAGACATGTGCCCTGACGGGAATCAAATCATGACCTCCTGTTTCAAAGGTCAATGCTCAATCTCTGAGCAACACCAGCTAGGCCCCCTGTTTCTCTTTAACTTACAAACTCCTTTCATTGTTATACTGATTGAACCCCCGCTGTCCCCCCTTTCCTCCTCCCCAGGAAATTATTTTAAATCTAAAAAGTATTTTATTCAGACCAGTGCATTGTTAAAACTTTTATTAATGTGTAGGGTCTGAATTATAAGGTTTTTTTGCATTATTAAAGACATTAAGAATTGTGACAAGATGACTACAACTTAAGGCACTGACAAAGAGCATTTCAGACTATTTGCAGAATTACCACTTTGGCGATGATTCTACTCATATTTCTAACTTCTCACTAACTCATGTTTTGCTTTTGGCATTCCTTAAGCCTGCCTTTAGTCATGGTCCATTGTGGTTGTAAATGAAATCATATATGACAAAGAGCAAAGGCAATTAAAAAGCTGTGTGATGGTCAAAGCCCTGATAAACCAACTGAATCATGATCATGCTCTTTTGATCTCCCTGACCCATCCCAAACTTCCTGAGTGCATACATGAGGCTTAGTCTCAGATAAAGGGAGAGAATATTTCCTAATCCTCACCCAAGGACATTTTTCCATTGATTTTTTTTTTTTTTTTTTTTTTTAAGAGAGAGAATGGAAGGGAGTGGGAGAAAGTCAGAGAGACATCGGATTGGTTGCCTCCTGCAAACATCTGACCAGGGCTGGGAATTGAGCCTGCAACCGAGTTATGTGTCCTTGTCCGAAATTGAATCCGGGACCCTTCAGTCCTCAGGCCAACTCTATGTCCACTGAGCCAAACCAGCTAAGGGCAAAGTGGGAAAATATTTAAATCACTTTATTGATGGATTTTTTTAAAAAAGTAGAAATAAAATAGAAACCTTATTGGCATTAACACATAAATCCTGAAACACCTTCCAGAGCCTCTAGTTGTTCGTCATGTTCTAAACTGTCACTGACCCACAGACGCTGACTTGGGTGACCATTTTCTCAGTTCTCCCGTCCTGACTGTGTAGGAGTGGAGTTAATTCATTACGTAAAGTGAAGGCCCTAGGATAATGCAAATCACTTATATAATTTAGGATTTAATGTGGTTACATTAAAAAATTAAAAAGAAACAGGTGAAATTAATTTAAATAATATAACCTATTGTGTCCAAAATATTATCATTTCAACAGGTAGCTAATCTAAAAATTATTCATATGTTTTATGCTCACTATGTTGTACAAAATTTTTGTAATCATGTATATTTTATAATTACAACATCTCTCAATTGGACTAGTGCTCTATAGCTTTTGGCAACTATATGGGACAGCACAGATACAGACATGAAAAATCATACTAGTATAGAAAGAGATTCATTTGCTATTTTAAGAAGAAATAAAGCAAATCATAGCAGTATTTAATATGCTTACATTTTTATATAAAGTATCTATGTTTATATCTGCAAATAAGAAGCTATAACTGCACTGTCGAGTACTGTCCTCACTAGACTACTTTAAGTGAATAAAATTTAAAATTCAGTCCCTTGGTGGTGCTAGCCAGATGTTCATAGTGGCTGCCGTGTTGGACGTCACAGCCTTAGGTCTGCTTGCCCTGCCCCCAGTGGGGCTTTTCGTCCCCTGAGACCAGAGCCTCGTGGCTTTTAACAATAACACAGGAGGGAGGCTCACTTACTGTGCAGCCGTGGTTAAATTTTAACAGGAGCATGGTGTGGAAGCAAAACAACCTACTCCAAGAGTCTGTTCCATTTTGGCACAACTGAGATGAACTGCCATCCAGATTGCTGAGTTTGCCATAGCCCTGATGTCTCCTTCAGGCACATTCATATAAAAACGCTCCTTTCTGCTCCTTCAGAGCCCACCTAATGCTCACGCTGCTTATTTAACAGGGCGAGGAGAGCATTGCTTCCTTATTGCAACAGCTTCTACGCAGGGCCAGGTCACATTCCGCCCAGGTTTGCAGACAGCAGTCTGCGTGCGTGTGGCAGGAGGCGGGTTACAAAGTGCAGGCATGTTGAAGTCAGGGGACTAAGCCGGGCGGGGTTCTGAGAGCTCACAGCTATGCTAGGTCATATTACTCCGCACCCCCCTCTCCCCCAAGGAGTCTTGTCTGCATCCGCCCCTCACTCTCTCCAGCTGACTTGATGGACTGGTTCTGCCAGTTTAGCTTACCTTTGCTCATCAAGATGAGAGGGTATATGATGTGAGAGCATTCTGCCCGTGGCCGCAAAATGTAGGAACTGCGGTGCCCTGGGCCACACAGGCCCATGGTGAAGTCCATTGTTATCACTCAGCCAGTATACTTGTTTAAGGCATTTACCCTGAGCCTTGGGGTCCTTGTAAAAGAGATATGTGACACCTCCGAGAAGTGCTAGGAGAAGCAGTAAGCTGAAGGCGTGGAGTAAGTACTCCCAAACAGTTCCTACCGTGAGCTCTGAGGGGACACACGTCAGCGAGGCACAGAGACAGTCATGTGGCTGCTTATGAATGGGAACTAGTCTCAGGAGAACACTGACATTTTTAGCTTATATAGAATGAATTTATGTGTAGACTCTCTGTGATTCTTAGTGACGGTGACTGGTTCTACTATAGATTATTGAAACCAGTAGGGAATCCCCTCGTTTGACTTGAACTCATAGTTTCAAGCTTTTTTCCCACCAAATTTTTAAAATGTATTTTTATTGATTTCAGAGAGGAAGGGAGAGGGAGATAGAGATAGAAACATAAATGATGAAAGAGAATCATTGATTGGCTGCCTCCTGCACACCCCCTACTGGGGATCAAGCCTGCAACCTGGGCATGTGCCCTTGACTGGAATCGAACCTGGGACCCTTCAATCCACAGGACAACGCTCTATCCACTGAGCGAAACCAGCTAGGGCTGCCACCAAATGGTGTACCCCCCCCCCCCCCTGATGCCAGTGGAAGGGTTAATTTACTTAAGTTTCATTTCCTGGTTTCCTGGTCTCCCCAGTAAAAGTGCTGATGAGTGGGAAAATGACTAAACAATTCCTGCACCAAAGGAAGAAAGCTGATCGTTTGCATTTGTCATTGATAACACGGTGCTCTTCACCAAGCTCAGATCATCTCAGTCCTTATCACTCAGAAGCTCTTATCTTAAAGGAATGTGCTTTATCTTTATTTTTTTTTTTAAAATACTTTTATTGATTTCAGAGAGGAAGGGAGAGGGAGAGATAGAAATATCAATGAGCGTCATTGATTGGCTGACTCCTCCAAGTCCCTCTCTGGGGACTGAGCCTGCATCCCAGGCGTGTGCCCTGACTGGGAATCGAACAGTTGACCTCCTGGTTCATAGGTTGATGCTCAACTACTGAGTCATGCCAGCCAGGCTGAAGTAGCATGTTTTAAATCACATGTGTAGCAAACCAAGGAACTCTTTAAAAACTTTGTTTTTCCTGGTTAGAAAAATAATAGATGCTCATTGAGAATAACCTGAAAAATATAGAACAATTAAGAGAATTTAAGCAACACATAATTTTTACCTCCAGAGACAACAACTTACCATTTGATGTAATTCCCTCTTCCTGTCAAAGTTATCACAGAATTTTTAAATCCTTTTTGTTATATTTAACATGATAGCATAACACCTTTCCCCACGTAATAAAAAATTCTTTTAAAACACCTTCTTACAGGCTTGCCTATTCTTCCACTAAGTGGATAAAGCATAAATAACTTGCAGTTCCTCTGTTGATGCCCAGGTTATTTGAGGGGCGGGCTTTTTAATGAGCCCACTTTGAGGGGTGGTGCGGAGCCTGGGACAGTAGAGGCCGGAGGAGTGGCACTCCCTGTTAGAAAGCAGAGACGGATGAAATGGATTCCCATATTCAAAATAATGGCTACTTTTTATAGTGCTGCTGCTGTCTCCTGTGCTTGCTGGTTAAATCCGCGCTGCAGTCCCTGCAGACACCTGGTGTTTGCTGATTTCTTAGCAGAGAAGTTACAGAGCTGGCCTCCGTGCCAGCTGCTCTAAATACACGATCTCATCCGATGGTCCCCACAGCCCTGCGGGAAGGTATGGCTTTGTAGACAGTCAGGCCTCTGTCAGTGGGAAGCTGGTGCCCTATCCCCTGGGCACTGGTGAGATGGTATGGGGAGGGGGGCACGCTGTGGGTGACGGGCACACAGTGACCAGCTCCTCCTTCAAGCTCCCGGGGGCCTGCCTTGGGGACAGTGGCAAATGGGGGTGGGTAGAGAGGTGGCCCCAGGAGAGGTGCACTCAGTCCTGGCAGGTACTGGGGCTGGTGCCAGCTGAGGGCACTGGGGAAGGGACGCCGGCCACCTGAGCTGCCAGAGCCCACATAAAGGCATTCCTTCCAACCCGATTGGAGTTGGTGTGTTCGGCTGCCTTTTTCAGCAATCACATACGTGGTGAGTGGCTCACTGCATCTGTGTCTGCACTTTTAGGGTGTTGGGAGGATCATTGAACAAGCGAAGATTCCATTTAATTCTTAATTACTATGTAATCGAACCTCCTGTGGTCGAAGGTTTTTCTTTTATTGCTTGGCTGTAAGAAGGAATACTGGGTTCCCATCTTACAAATTATGTAATTTGCTTTGGTGTCATTTAAAGGTCATTGTACTGCAGAATGCTACAGGAACTGCTCTTTCAAGTGCTGTCTCCATTCTGTGGTCACGTCCGAGGTCAGAAGCGTTTGTGATGCTGCTTTGCA